CTTAAAATAGTTTTTTCCCCTCACCTTCCTTCAATCTGACCGACAAGAACACAAGAATGATGGCTGCCATGTATTAGGGCATGTACTTTTTGATGGACTTCATATTCGCTGAAATAAACTTGGACTGTTAAAGGGGTTGTAATAAATAATGTTCTTTTGTATGGTGCTGGGGCAGAGTGAGAGGAATCATGTGGTTGGGCTTGCTCATAGCTTGAATCCTTGAATAAGGGAGTTTACACTGGACATCTAGCTAGCTACATGCGCTTTTGAATTGAGAACTAGGAAATCACAAGGCCATGTGTGAGCTATGATCTTCACCCTCCTGATCTCCCTTTCTTTCACTTTCAATGGCTCTCTGTTTAAATGGGGTATGCATTCATAATAATCTTCTTTTCAAGAAAAGTGCTAGTTCATTCTAAGCTTTAAAGGAAGGCCAGACCATTCGCTCTCCACTTGGGGTCGCACGAATTATGCCCGCTGTCCCTTGGAAAGCTTTTTTCAAATCATCACACACATTACAAGTAGTATTATTCATAAAAAAAGAATTTCTGCCACTATTATGAACAATCTACAAAAGTTATTAAGACGTTTGAAAAACTTTTGATATCACCAACTAAGCTAATGGTACTTCAAATGAGCCTTTTCTGATCATCAGCCATTGGATCCCATGATGCAGCATACATGATCAACCTTTTTTATGGTTCTTTGATGAAAAATGACCCTCTATTACATTGGACAAGAGAAGACTACCAGGCAGAGGGTAGTGAGATATGGAGACAACAAGATGGGGTCTAAGGATTTCTGAACTTTGGTTTGAATGGCCTGAAAATCTCAACTTTTGCTGCATTGCCTGTGTCCAGGGCATATCCCATGTGGGTTTGTACTGACTACTAATAATCAACAACGCAGAAGTAAATGGATCTTCCCTCCTCTATTAAAGCCTCAACAACTTAGCCGAGCAATAATTATTTCTTACTCATTTAACATTACTCCAAGTGCATTTGTTTACTAAGAAAACGTACTCTTTGATATCATAAAAACAATTAATTTTTAAAAATATTTTTTAACTGATATATATAAATAGTAACTCTGAGAAATAGCTTAATTCATCAAACTTTAAGTTTGTTATTTATTGTTCACGAGAGTTTGAATTTTTTAAATCATTAAAAAATTATATAATTATTAATTTTAATAATTATAAAATTAATCAAGATAACACAAATGCTCTGGCCTCTTGTTGTATGATGTTATTCCCACTTCCTGCACTTATTTTACATGTACCCTAGTGATCTCCTCCGCTCCTGTCATCTTGCAATTATACGAGACCCTGAGACCACTTTGAAATCCAATCACTGTAAGACATGTGGCAAGGCTGGCCACTTGTGAAGATCTTACTAGGCTGTAGAGTTTCCATGCCACACCAGCACTGTGGTGCAGTGACCTTAATATTATCGTTAGTTTAATTTCCAAGGACAAACGAAGCAGTAAAGACATGCAATGGAGACAAAAGAAGGGAGAAACTATACCTTGGATAGTTGGAATCAAAGTATAAGGTTATGGTTCTAAGGAGGGAGGACACTTCCTTTATAAATATGTTTAGGGGAAAGAGACAATTATATATGTTGCCCTGCTGCAATCCTTTTGGCCCCTAATCTCTGGACATATTTGTCATTTTATGACATTAACTTGCTGTGGTCTGTTCTTCTTCTTGGTCAAATTCCAGTCTCTGTTTTCGTGCTATGATTGTCTGGGTCGTCGTCTTCGCCTTCCTAATTATCCAATGCCTAGGCTGCCTAAATCTTGTTTGGATTCAGGTTATTTCACTCTCGTATGAGCTCAAAATTCACTCGTGACTGTCTCTTTTTCTTAGTTTGGCTATCATTACATGTTCAGTTAATCCTGTTCGGATAAATATTTGTTGTTTTTACCTTTTATAATGGTCGATTAGTCCAAAACTAAATGCAATTATCAGCCAAGATACAATTCAAAGCTTATGGTTGCTGGAATCTTTGTGTTCACCTAAAATTTTTGACAACTAAAATCAAAAGAAAGCTGAAACTGTAGGGAGATTCACTGTATACCTACACATATTCTACTATTCATTAATTAGTATAATTATTATTTTTCCTTATCAAAATAAAAAATCATTGAACCTTGATGTTATCGATATTTCGGTTTTTTTTCAAGATTTATTGGTTGTTATTGGAATTCTTTTTTTTTAAAAGCATAATAAATTTATTAATTTACTCTTAAAAAAATTAAAACATAAATATTTAAACTTTTTCATATTTTTACAAATACATCATAATTAAAAGTGAAATGTTTAAAGTTTGTATTTAGAGGTTTTTATCTTTTTTATTATAGCTTTTTTGTTATCATCAACGTTCAACACAAACAATAACAGTCTATTCATTTTAACAAAATATATTATTTCATTGATAAAATGACTAGTGTGTATAGCATATACACACTAACGAGAAGTACATATGATCTTCTGATAGTATATATAATTTTTATTGACGACCAAAATTTCTTTTCCATCGTGTTGTTTGAATCATTATAATATATTTTTTTTATAATAAAGTTAAACGTGTTAGCAGGATAGTAGAATGGTTTGTCTCTGATTGTCTTTTTTTTTCTTTAAAATTAAAAAATCTCTATTGTCCCTCTTTTTCCTTTGAAATTTTCATTGGCCATTCAAAAAACTAGAGTTTTCCTCGTAGTTATTTATATTTTAATTTTATTTTTTATTTTTTATTGTTGGTTGTCTTATAAAAATTTTATTTATTTTTATTTTCATCCTTTAATCTTAATTTATAATTTTTATTTTCAATATGACCCTCATTTTTTCAATTTCACCTTTTAATAAAAAAAATTATTAATTTGTTTTTTTATCTTAATTTTCATCCTTATTGTTTTCATTGCTATTTTTGGTTTTGGATCCTTTTATATAATAATTTTTTTATTTTATTATTCAATATTTGATTGGTTAAAAATTGAGTTTTGTAATTTTTTCAGATATAGTATTTTTAGTCTAATGACCAAAGTCACAAGTTTTTTTTTAATATTAGTTTTTTTTTTAAATAATTTTGTGGTTTTTTTTTGTTTTCATTTCTATATTTTATTTTCATAACTTGGGTTACGGGTTTGCATTCTAACTTAGTTTAACTTGTTCTTTATTATCTAGATTATAAATTTACTACGTTAACTTAGATAAACTCGAGTTTTTATTTTGTTTTTTAATCCAATTTTGTTATATATATATTTAATTAGTTAAGAATTAAATTATATATTTTTTGAAAAAAAACATCTATATTATTACTATTATTTTTGTATTTGATTTATCTATTATTATTGCTGTTTATTTTTCTAATTATCTGATTAAAATAAAACTAATTTGTTTAATCTACTGGATTCCTTAACCTGCTTCACATATTTTATTTTATTTTATTTTTTAAATTAAAAAAGTAACCCCGCCTCTCGCTAGCTGCTACACATCTAGTGAGAGCTAAATGCCACTAGACATTATTTATTTGGTGAATTGCTTAATTTGATGCATGTGACATTGACATATGACAAATTTCGACACTTATGGCACAATCAAATACATGACAGGCCCCTTTCTCATAAGCAACAACAACGACCACATTAATTAAGGCTTCTTCTAGGGCTGAAAATCAGCTTGTTTTGGATGTGGGTTTTTATTTAATCTGTCATAAGTTCACATAATTATTGTAACAAGACAGATGAACATGCTCAAAGTCTGGATTCCCAAATGATCACAGATCTCTAGCAGTCCTCCAAAAGCCTATCCACCATTTTTACAAGCATGCTGTAATGCACACACCCAATGATGCTTTCTTCTTCCTTTCTTCCTTCCTTTCCTCTTTTATTTTGAACTTCTCATGCTCGATGATACCGTTATGGATCAAAGTGCATTAGTAATCTCATCAAGAGAGAATGACAGCTTGTTTCGTTATGTATATGTTAATATTAAGAATATTTTTTAAAAAATAAAAAAATATATAGTATTTTAATATATTTTTAAATAACAAGTTATTTTAAATCACCCTGTAAACGCGTAATTATACTGCAGCTTTTGCTTTTAAAAGTTTTTCTTTTCGGGTTGGAACGACCGTCTGTCGAAGAAAAAGAAGAGTCTCTGTGTGTGACAGTTAGCTGATAGTGGTTGGCTGTATGGAATCTATAAAAGCAATCCCCCAACATTTTACAGCACAAAAGTGGCTACGCATACAAACAATGGCGAGAGCATATAGTAATATAAAAATGTTAAAAGCCAACAAAGATACTCATGGTGTCATGGTCCTAAGATAGTGGGTGACCAAATCCACCATCATCAATCTCGAGCCTCAAGTTTTTCTGCCTCGAGATCCTCACATTCTCAAAAAAAAATAAGAGTAAAAGGTTAAAAATTAAAATTTAGAAAACTGGGTTTTGGGTCTTTTTGCTGTATGGCCGAACTCAAGAGAATGTTGGATTCCTCGGCCTCAAGCATTGCATTTTGATCTCATCACAGAGACACTACACTGCCTTTAGTGATAACCATGCACATCCTGGAAAAGTACACACAGACATGACAATAATCCTCATGTTGTTGTATTTGTTTTGGGTACAAAGTAGTACAACAACAACAACATATGCATAACCTATCTCCATGTCTATAACAAGATGACTGATGACTCACAAACCCAGAAAGAATTTTGATTCACTCTATGCATACAGATATTTAAACTATCTTAATATTTTGTAATTATTATAATTTTCATGCCTAGTTGCCTTTTGTTTGTCACTACTGTGGTGAGCAATATAAAATTCACAGCTACAGGTAAAAAAATATGCTTTCTGGGGCAATGCATGATTAACTCAGAAATGGGAATTTCCAATTCTATCCTTGGATTAAGAATATTGCCTAGATTTATTTACTTTTGGTGCTTTTAAGATCAAGACCGTATACAATGTAGTATGGCTATATATATTATTCTTTTCTCTAACCTATACTGACTAAATGACAGGCATGCTAATGCTAGTTCCCTTTATTATACAGCCAAAACATTGGTTCTTTTCTTGGGTCTGACACAGAAAAGATTTTGGTGAATGGATTTCTGGCCTGTAAGGCAAGACGTGGGTTCAAATCTAAGTATTACGTTATACAAAAGTAATCCATTCCAAAGGTGATTTCTCTAGTAGCTAAAACAGTTGCCATTTGCAGAAAAAATTAGCATTTCTTGTTTTGTTCTGTGGTTCTTGTACACTTCATGACTGCAATGGCAATGAGGAGAAGAGAAGTTGGTCTCTATTTTGTGGCTTGCTTGTGGCTTCTGACTACTGTAAATGGATTGCTGACTCCTAAAGGAGTAAACTTTGAAGGTAACTTCAAAATTCTTTCCTTTCCCCTGGCTTCAAATTAATATGAAGAAAAATGGAAGGCCTTTTTTGACATGGGTGTTCATTTTTCAGTTCAAGCTTTAATGGGAATAAAAGCTTCTTTAGATGACCCTCATGGGGTTCTTGAGAATTGGGATGGAGATGCTGTTGATCCATGCAGCTGGACTATGGTCACTTGCTCTTCTGAGAGTCTTGTCATCGGCCTGTAAGTCTTCTACAATCTTATATTTCATGAACAAAAATCTCAAGACATAGCCTGAATGTCATGAAACCGATATGGATTGGTACTAATTTAGGAACAAGAAATGATCATTTATTGAGGATGCTGAAATGGCCTTGTTGCAGGGGAACTCCTAGCCAGAATTTATCTGGAACTCTTTCTCCAACTATAGGCAACTTGACTAATCTTCAGACTGTGTAAGTATTCAAGAAACAAACGGACAGTTCTAGAGTTTTGAAGAGAGAAAGTTCCTTCCATGTTACTTGTATTAAGTCTTAACATTTGGCATGTTCCATGTATTTTCAGGCTCCTGCAGAGCAATAATATTACAGGACCAATTCCTGCTGAGATAGGAAAGCTCTCAAAGCTGCACACGCTTGATCTTTCTAATAACTTCTTTACTGGGAAAATTCCTTCCTCTTTAGGCCATCTGAGGAATCTAGAATACATGTGAGCTTGAAATTTTGCAATTACAGTATTAAGCTTGAAGTACTTTGTTGTTGCATCCTAAAGAATCTCTCTCCTTTGGGTCTAATTTTGACTTGGGTTCTTTGATCTGGATTAGGAGGCTAAATAATAACAGTCTCTCTGGAGAATTCCCAATGTCATTGGCTAACATGACCCAGCTTGTGTTACTGTATGTCTCTTGATCCTGTTCTTTGTAAATCAAAGATTTATAACCTGATTAAAACGTTTTATTAAAAGATTTTTTTCTGTGGATTTCAGTGACCTGTCATTCAATAACCTGAGTGGCCCTGTACCAAGATTTCCTACCAAAACATTCAGGTAAATCTCTCTCCTCTTCCTCTGTCTTTCTCTGAATAGTGATTTGGAAGGCCAACTTTAAATGTATCTTCTGTTGCATTTCTTATTCTTGCAGCATTTCTGGAAACCCTCTAATCTGTCCAACAGGTTCTGAACCAGAATGCTATGGGACAACCCTAATGCCAATGTCCATGAACTTGAATAACACACCAAGTAAGGAAAATGGAATGTGCTATCCTAATTTAATTATTCGATTCACAATTTACAACTTGCTTTGGATTGATAATGATAGTAATCTCATCACATCTTTAGCAGCCCAACCTGCAGACAGACCGAAGAGTCACCAGGTAGCTCTTGCATTTGGCTCAAGCGTTGGTTCTGTCTCACTTATCATTCTTGTGTTTGGATTATTTTTGTGGTGGAGACAAAGGAACAATCAACCTACATTTTTTGATGTTAAAGGTTTGTAACATATATTACCCTTTAATTTTACTAAATACTTGCTATGGTAGCTAATAGTATAGTAAATATGATGATGCAATTCTGTGACTCATCAGATCGCCAACACGAGGAAGTTTCTCTTGGGAACTTGAGGAAATTTCAGTTTAGAGAACTTCAGATTTCGACAAACAACTTCAGCAATAAGAACATACTAGGAAAAGGAGGTTTTGGCAATGTGTACAAAGGGATTCTCCATGATGGGACTGTTGTAGCTGTCAAGAGGCTTAAAGATGGCAGTGCCAGTGGAGGAGAGATTCAATTCCAAACAGAAGTTGAGATGATCAGCTTAGCAGTGCACCGGAACCTCCTTAGGCTCTATGGATTTTGTATGACACCAACAGAAAGACTTCTAGTTTATCCATACATGTCCAATGGCAGCGTCGCTTCTCGTCTCAAAGGTAGCCGAGTTTGATTTCTATTGCCATGATTGTCAGTATCATTAGCCTAAAATGGAAAAATGCATATTTTGAGTAGCTAAACTGATGATCCTGCTTTATTTTTGGAAGGGAAACCAGTCTTGGATTGGGGCACCAGGAAGAGAATTGCCTTAGGAGCTGCGAGGGGACTCTTGTACCTCCATGAGCAGTGTGATCCAAAGATAATCCACAGGGATGTTAAGGCTGCAAATATATTGCTTGATGATTATTGTGAAGCCGTGGTAGGTGATTTTGGGTTGGCAAAGCTTTTGGATCATCAAGATTCACATGTCACTACTGCCGTGAGAGGCACTGTCGGGCATATAGCTCCTGAATATCTTTCAACTGGTCAATCCTCAGATAAAACAGATGTTTTTGGATTTGGTATCCTGCTTCTTGAATTAATCACAGGCCAAAGAGCACTAGAGTTTGGCAAGGCAGCCAATCAGAAAGGAGCCATGCTAGATTGGGTGATTACAATCTACTTTATATCAATGCTGCCTATAAATGCTTTAGAAATCTTTGCTCTACAGTCTGCAGTTCAGTTCTCAGATATCTGTTGATTGTAATTGCAGGTAAAAAAGATTCATCAAGAGAAAAAGCTTGAAATGCTTGTAGACAAGGATCTAAAGGGAAATTATGATAGAATTGAGCTTGAGGAGATGGTACAGGTTGCCCTCTTGTGCACCCAATACCTTCCAAGCCAAAGACCTAAAATGTATGAAGTGGTTAAAATGCTTGAAGGAGATGGGCTAGCGGAAAGCTGGGAGGCTTCTCAAAGAGCAGAAGCAACCAAGTCCAAACCCCACGAGTTCTCCTCGTCAGATCGATATTCTGATCTCACCGATGACTCATCCTTACTAGTCCAAGCAATGGAGCTCTCTGGCCCAAGGTGAATTCCTTAGAAAAATCCAATATATTTTCTCTTCTTTTTTTCTTCATTTAAAGAGATTTAGAATAATAGAAAACCATTATAGGTGAAGCTGTTTTGTGATAGTGTTTTCTTGATTGAGGTTTCTTTTGTTGTATAATAGTGGTATAATCTAGGCTCCAAAGGACTTGATGTTTTCATCAAATTGTACAGGTCCTGTTTTGAGAAACTGACAGTACTTAAAAATCCTTCTATTTGTATTCCTACTGAGTGACAATTCTATGAGGATCCAATTTACTTTGAGAGCCAACGTGTTCGATATAGACTTCAGTTTTCCCAATTCGAAGTGATCACATCTCCTGTAAAAATAATGCTCCCTAGCCTTGATCATCGTGGACTTACATTTTTCTGAGCCAAATCATTAACTTCAAAATAAAAGGAGCAGTATGTGTTGATGGGTCATGAAGTGTTCTTCAGCTAAAACTTTGGTATAGTAGCAAGCAAACTAGAGAACAACAATACTAAAGAGGATTCAGAAAGGAAAAAAAAACATTTCTAGCCTACAAAGAGCTCCACGTCCTTTCTCAGAAGTCCTAGCATAGCACTCCATGTCCAATTCTTTTGTAGAAAACAACGATCGGAGCAGTTCTGGAAATTTGCAAATGCCTTCAAAAGTTTCACCATCTAAATGGCAAATAACTTTGCAGAAAATCCCACTGATGAAGCTTAAAAAAATGAACAATCGCATGAAATCCTTGGTCAGTTTCAGGATGATAAAAAGGTTTATGGAGTTCTACTTCAGAAAAATCACACGAAGACTCGCCATAATTGACCAGCCATTCAGGTTTCACGCTTTGTGATCCATGAATGTATGGCCATTTTGTATGCAGCAATTCAGTACACTAAAAACACAGGAGCTGCATGATAAAGAGAGGACCGACGATCGAGAAATACAATTTCATCAACCATGCAAGCTTGATATCGAACTACTTTGCTTTCCTATGTCCTTCCAATGGCCTTGAATTTCCTCTGATGCGTTTGGCAACCGTATCTATCCAGCCAGCACAGAGAGCTTCACGTTAGACCCCTTCCTCTTTCTCTTTTAGATTCTTTTGGAAGAGCTCTCACGGGACAAATCCCTCCAAGGTTGCTCTACATCCTCCATGGTTCCATGAGTCCATAATTAATCCTGCTCAGACAAATTTACATCTTCTATAAAGACCACTCGAGAAGTACATTTTCGGTCCTGCTCAAATTCCTCCAAAACACATGAGAAAAGGATAAGGCAGGCTTAGCTGCTGCAGCTGTTGCAACTGCATGTCCTAGAGCAACAGTTGGTCTCGCACGATTGTTCTTATTCTGTTTCCTCATCATTTGGATAACAGTAAGGAGAAACCGAGAGTGGCGAGGACTCATGGTACAACGAATCATGGCCTTTCCCAGGAATGTCGGTTTTCCTGTGCAATCAAGTGCTTGCAGAGCCTTGAAGCAATGGTCTGCTTCTTCCATAGCAGCAGTTGTTGGAGTTGGAAATGGGAAATTCTCTATCTTGATTGCATAAAATAATAATAATTAAATAAATGGATAGAAGAAATTTGTGTATGGCTCTGATGATGATGCAAAAAAAAAAAAAAAGGGCTGTCCGTTTGAGGCCCAAGCTCAAAGCAATCTGTCCCCTTTTTGCACAGAGGCGCTGTCCGTTAAATTTTTGGCCGGCAACAGCAAATCATATTTGCTCCTCTTTTTCAAGCGGACTGCTCTCCGGTTCGAGAAGACTCAAACCAACGATCCTCAGACCGAATCCCAATTCCGTGCAAAATCCAAGAGGTCTCGTAATGGACACAGGTCACAATGCAAACTTAAGATATTCAAGAAATTCATGACAACATCGTGCTTTTCTATATTTACACATGAATTGTCAATACAACATTACTTCACTTGAGAAATGGTTCTCTTTCGTTAACCTCTATTCTCAGAGTCAACTTTTCTTATTAATCACAATGACTGAACACAACAAACAATAACTCATCTTCTTATGTTACTTGTAAAAGCAAAGAATTACTCCCCATCGTTACTTCACTTTCACAAGATAAGTTTATAGACCGATGTGTATAAATATATTGGATTAGCAGGAAAACAAGGGGGGGAAAAATCAAAGAGCTCAAGTTCATGCAAGAACACACAACCATCAAAACATGCACTCTCCTGCATTCTTTACTAATATAAGCATAAAAAGTCTTCTATTTTGATAAAGGGAATATAAAGTCTAAAGATAAAGCTAATATTTAAATCTAAATACTTTAGCTCAGGATAAAAGCTCAAATCTAATCTAAAATTTTTATGATTTCACCAGTTACAGAAGATGAATGATTCTCATTTATTCTGAAAGGTATTTCTTCTTTGTTTAGAGAAGGAAGATGACCATGGTATCCTATAGAATTAGCCATTAATGGACCTCGAGGGGAAATTACTGAAAAAATAATAATTAAAGGCGTAGAAAATATACTGCACCTCAGGAGAGAAAATATTGTAGATTGTAATAGCATTCCATGATGTTTTGGTCTTTTTTTTTTAAATAAATGGTCATTTGTTTTTATTTTTAATTTGGTTTTTTAATTTTTTTTATCAGTTTATTCCTTTAATATTAAATTTATTTGGTATTAGTCTTGGTAGTTTATTTTGGCTACCTAGACAATGGAATCTCATAATGTTAAAAAATAATAATTATAACTTAGTTAATGCTTGGTTTGTTGAGATTGAATGAAATTGTGTTGATTTAAATTTATAAAGATCAAATTTAAAAATTGGAAAAATGTCAATCCTTTTTTCCTTGCAAACACTAGGGACTAAATTGGACGAGCAATAAAAAATGTTTATCCTAATTTTTTTGTGATGACTCAGTTTGTTTTCATTTGATCTTTTTATATTGAATTTATTTGATATTGGACTTAAGAACTTGTTATGGTTGCTTATATATAGGGGTCTCACAATATCAAGAAATTTTATTTGACGTGTGGTTAATACTTGGTTTTATAAAATAAAATTTAATTACATTAATAAAAAAAAATAAAGTTTAAGGGATCAAGTTTAAAAATAGAACAAGCCCACAAACAAAATAAAATGGAAAGAGAAAAAATGATTAGTTGGTGCATGCATTGTATTTTCTAGCAAATAAAAAGAGTCATTATATTTTACAGATGTGTGAACCCTCCTCCAAAAACTAAAGAAGTCATTATGTGGTTGCTTTTAAATTCTATTGGTGATGTCAACCATATAGAATGACATATGTTGATGTTGATGTTATGGTGTGTGATTCATTTCTTCTCTTTCTTTTCTCATTCATTAACTTGATTTTCATGTCTTACTTTGTTAATTTTCTTTGATATCAATTTTGGTCATTTTAAAATTGTTATTTTTTTTTATGTTTTGTACCTTATAAAATTGGATTATGTTTGTATAATTTCTATTTTTTTTCTATAAGTTAATCTCGGTTTGATGTTCTTAATTGCTAGTTTGAAAGATTAACTCAAATTGACTTAGATTATTTTATCCTTTAATAATTTGTTAGTTTGGAATTGAGTTTTTTCTTTCTTTCTTTCTATCTAGTTATCTTAGTTTCATGATATAGATCACATGTATTGTAGGTTAATCCAAGTTGAATTGAGTTTTTTTTATTGATTTTCTTCAATTTCATTTTTTAACATGGATTGGTTGAGATTGAATTTCAAAAAAAAAATTTGTTTGCTTTCTATATGATTATTTTTTTCTCATAACCTGGATCGCGAGTCTAGTAAGTTAACTAAAGTTGATTCAAGTGACTCTTTTTTATTCTTTTTTTAATTAAATAATTTTTTTTTATTTTCATCTTTTGATGTTGTGTTATTTAAGAATTGAGTTGACTGGGATTAGGCTTTGTAATTGTTTTATTTTGTTTTATAGGATAACCTCAATCATATATGTATCACGAGTTTAAAAGAATAACTCAGCCCTTAAGTCAACTTGGGTGATTTCTTCTTCTTTTTTTGTCTCTTTTTTTTCTTTCTTTGATATTTTTTTATTTTATTCTTCAATGTTGGGAATTTCATTAAAAAATTTGATTTTGTTTTTTCAATTTATCCTTCGATATTTTATTGATTTTGAATTAGGATTCATAATTTATCTTGGGTTACTATGGGATCAAACAAACATTCTGATATTTGGTTAGTCCTCAATGTTTTTGTTATTGTATAATTAGATAAAAAATAGTTTCACAACACAAAACAAGGTTTTACAAATTAACTCGAACTTACTCGAGTTGTTATTTTGTTGTCTTTTTCACGATGAATATTTTTTTCACCTTTTAACATCAGATAATTATGCTTCATAATTGTTTTTAGTTTATTTTCTATGTAGTTATCTCATTCCCTTGCTACGGGTCACATGTTTTGCAAGTTTGACTTAAATTGTTCTTTTTTTATCTTATTTTTAAAAGAATTTTTATTTTATTTTTCTCATTTTACATTTTGTTGATCAAGAGTTGAGCTTTATAGTTTGGTTCGATTTTTTTTCTATAAAATTATTATAATCTCATAACATGTATCATGAGTGTTACAAGTTAGTCAAACTAGTTCAAGTTAATTAAATATGTTATCATTTTAATATTTCAAGAAGGAAAAAAAAACATTGCAAAAAGAGAAAAATTCCTTGATACTAGTTTTAATTTTTATTTTTCTTTTAAGTATATTTTGGTGCTTCTATTTGGTCAAAAGTTAAATTACGTTTTAACTAAATTGATACTAACAAAAAAACTACTATGAAAAAAACAAATGGGTAAATTACGTTTTAACTAAATTGATAATAACAAAAAAACTACTAATATTTTAGGGTTTTTTTTTCTCCAATGATATTTTGATTTTTTTCATTGTTCATTTAAAATGGAAAAAATTTTATTTTTCCTTAATTAATTTGGTAACAACTAATAGAACTTGTAAAAGAACTAATATACCCTTAAAAAGAAACAAAACTGTGAAATTATCACTATTCAAATAAATAGTGATTTCACTCTTGAGATAAAGTAAAAATGCCTCTCCCATTAACTTTTCGAATTGTCATTGACATATTGTTACAGCATGCAAGCGTTGTGCTATAGAGAAACATAGCTACATTTTCTTGGCCCAAATCCACTTTAAATCCATAGGTTCAATTGCTTTCCAAACAATAGGGTTATAAATGGGGTGGGTTCTTCACCTTCAAGCATACTGTCGAAGTCTGATCTATCTCTGCCTTCCCCTTTCCCAGGTGTACAAGTTCTTACCAGTAGAAATCATCTAT